AATTTTAAATTTTAATATTATATTATATTTTTTAATTAATTTGTATTAGCCCACGGGCCCACCCTACCTATATTTCTCAAGCCCCACAAATCAGCAGACTTATTCAAGTCGGGCTAAAAAGATTTTTTTTTAAATGGGCTCCAAAATTTTTAGCCCAGTCCTATTAAATCCTGGGTTAGGCCAGGCCGGCCCAACAGGCCTAGCCCATATTGACAGCTCTATTGTTAAGCATAAGTACCAACACTATTTGATCCTATAGATGATAAAATTGATTTAGTTGGTGGATTTATTGTTGGAATCAAGTCAAAACTAAACTTGTTAAAGTTAAAAAGTTGTTAAGTTGTTTAAATAAGTTAAAATAAATAATGTGGGTTAGTTCGTGAATTTAGTTGTTAGAATTAAGTCAAAACTGAACTAGTTAAAGTTTAAAAGTTGTTTAAACAAGTTAAAATAAATAATGTGGGTTAGTTAGTGAATTTTGTTGTTGGAAATACGTCAAAACTACACTAGTTAAAGTTAAAAAAGTTGTTAAGTTGTTTAAATAAGTTAAAATAAATAATATGGGTTAGTTAGTGAATTTAGTTGTTGGAATTAAGTCAAAACTAAACTAGTTAAAGTGAAAAAGTTGTTAAGTTGTTTGAATAAGTTAAAATAAATAATGTGGGTTAGTTAGTGAATTTAGTTGTTGGAATTAAGTCAAAACTAAACTAGTTAAAGTTAAAAAGTTGTTAAGTTGTTTAAATAAGTTAAAATAAATAATGTCATTTAGTTAGTGGATTTAGTTGTTGGAATAAGTCAACACTAAACTAGTTAACAGGATTTAGTCATTGGAATTAAGTCAAAACTAAAGTAGTTAAAGTTATTTAAATAAGTTAAAATAAATAATGTCGTTTACTTGGTGGATTTAGTTGTTGGAATTAAGTCAAAACTAAACTAGTTATTCTTGTTAAGTTGTTTAAATAAGTCAAAATAAATAATGTTGTTTAGTTGGTGGATTTAGTTGTTGGAATTAAAATTATCAGTATTGTTTCTTTAGATGAATCCTGATCATAGTTGGATGTATAATAGAAACAATCCTGGTCGAGCGGGTATGATTCCAGAATTCGTAGAAGGTGTCACTAGATTTATAAATCATGCAAAGACACTTGATCTTTTTTTAACTTCAAGATTGATTAGGTGCCCGTGTGTTAATTTTGTAAATGTGAGATATCATACAACAGAGACTGTTGCTATGCATCTTATGATGAATGGATTCAAACCAGGGTATATAGTTTGGACTAGTCATGGTGAGGTTGAAAGTGACACTATGTTTAATAACTTTGTTGTCGGTGAAAGTAGTAGATCTACCGAGCATAGTTTTTTCCAAGGTTCTAGAATTTCAGATATGGTCGATGATGCTTTCGGGATGCATTCTGATTTTGAACAAGGAGAAAATGTAGAAGAAGCTCCTAATGAAGAAGCAAACATCTTTTATGAACAATTGCGTGATTGTAATAGTCCTTTGTTCAACGGGAGTCAACATTCTAAATTGTCTGTTGTAGTTGGATTGTTAAGTATCAAATCTGACAATAATATTTCTCAAGGAGCAATGGACTCTATGATAGATCTTATGAAGGAATTAGTTGATCCCAATGTAGAGATTCCTGATTCTTATTATAAAGCAAATGCATTGGTGTCTAAGTTAGGACTCTCCTAGATAAGAATTGTTTGTTGTGAAAAAGGTTGCATGTTATACTATAAGGAGGATGTCGATCTAGAGTCTTGTAAGTTTTGTAGTCACCCTCGCTATAAGACTGGTTATACCGGAAAGAAACTTGATGTTAAGGCGATGCATTATTTACCTCTTATACCAAGATTGAAGAGGTCGTATGCATCAAATAGCTCTGCTCCTCATATGAGATAGCACCGTGAAAATAGAAGGACACTTGGTGTCATGTGTCATCCATCTGACGGAGAGGCTTGGAAACATTTTGATAGAACTTATCCAGATTTTGCCGCTGAACCAAGGAATGTTAGGCCGGGTTTGTGTGCGGATGGTTTCACCCCTTTTTCAGTTAGGGCTACACCATATTCTTGTTGGCCTGTGTTTATTACACTGTATAATCTTCCACCTGAGATGTGTGTGACAAGTCCGTATATATTTCTGAATTGTGTCATTCCTGGTCTGAGTAATCCTAAAAGCAAGATTGATGTGTACTTACAACCTTTGATTGATGAGTTGAAATTGTTGTGGTCTGAGGGGGTAAAAACATGGGACATTTCTCGTAAACAAAATTTCAACATGCGTGCTACTTTAATGTGGACGATTAATGATTTTCATGCCTATGAAATGCTATCTGGATGGATGACTGCTAGAAAGTTAGCATGTCCCTACTGTATGGAAGATACTAAATCATTCACATTAAAACATGGCCAAAAAAATTCATGGTTTGATTGTCACCATCGGTTCTTGCCACCTGATCATGAGTTTAGGAGAAAGAAATATGCATTTTAAAAGAATAAAACTGAATGAGATGGTCCACCCCCAATATTAACGGGTGATGATATTTGGGAAAGGGTTCAAAATTTTTCAAAGGTAACTAAGGAACCACCGTACAAATTTAATGGGTATGGTGTTGCACATAATTGGACTAAACAGAGTATATTCTGGGAGTTACCTTATTGGAAGGATACTATGCTTAGACATAATCTTGATGTCATGCATATTGGAAAGAATTATTTTGATAATCTGTTCAACACTGTAATGGATGTGACTGGCAAGACAAAAGATAATGTTAAGGCTAGACTTGACTTACCAGAACATTGTAGACGACCAGAGTTGCATTTATAGGAGTCTGCCAACAACAAGTTACTTAAGCCCAAGGCTAGTTATTCATTCACAATGGAACAGAAGAGAAAATTTTGTGAGTGGATGGAAAGCTTGAAAATGCCAGATGGATATGCCTCAAATTTGGGAAAGAGGGTTGACATTGAGCGTGGAATATTACATGGGATGAAAAAGTCACGACTGTCATGTTTTCATGGAACAATTACTTCCGATTGCTTTTTGTGGATTGCCTGAAAACATATGGAAATCGATGGCAGAGATCAGTTTGTTCTTCAAAGACTTGTGTTCCAGCACATTGAGAGTAGAGAATCTGGTTCGGATGGCCAAAAATATCGTTGTTATTAGTAATAAGTTGGAGAAGATTCTTCCACCTGGGTTCTTTGATGTGATGGAATATCTTCCCATTCACCTTGTTCATGAAGCCCTACTGGGAGTTCTAATTCAATATAAGTGGATGCATCCTTTTGAGCGGTAAGTAACTATAACATATTTATTCTTATTTCATAAATCGTTCATATATCTTTTGAAATTATATATCTAATATAAAATTTTACAAGAGCATTGGCAAGTCTAAAAGGGGTATTAAGAATAAACATAGGGTGGAGGGCTGTATGGTTCAAGTATATCTAGCTAAAGAAAGATCCCACTTTTGTTCTTACTACTTTGATGATTATGTGTCGTGTTTGAGAAACAAACCTAATCGACATGATGATACTGGGAATGATCCTACAGTACAATCATTACCAATCTTCAACCAACCGGGTAAGGGTTCAAAAAAGCATACATTGCGCAAACTTACCGAAAAGGAGAAAAATTCTGCAGAGCTTCATGTCTTGTTGAATTGTCCAGAAGTCCAACCCTTCTTAGAGTAAGAAAATTAAATATGTAAACAACATATATTCAACTCCGATTTTATTAAGGAAACTAACTATATTTTCAATGTGATTCTACAGTAATTTTGTGAGCCAATATGGTCATGATCAAGTGTTTCCATCATTTAATAACGTGGTATACTAATTGGGTAAGTGTTGTAATATATACACCTATTAAGAGATTAGTGTACTCTTATTTCTACTAACATTGCTTTTAATTTACTAACCATATATAGGTCTACAATTCAAAAAATGCCGCCACATTTGATCAATTTTTCAAGGATATTTCTTGGGACCGATTACAGTTCACACAATGTCCCAATATAACGTAAATGGTTTTAAAGTTGCCACAGAGAAATACTCAAAGAATAAGAAACCTAATAATAGTGGTGTTTGGGTTAAATGTGATGATAGAAATCAAAATGAGAATGTTGATTATTTTGGTGTCCTACAGTAGATTGTAGAGTTGGAGTATTCGAGTTGGCCAATCAAAAGAATAGTACTTTTCCAATGCAAGTGGTTTGATCCAACTATAAGAGGTACGAGGCAGCTTAAGCAGCATAATATCATTGAAGTCAAGCACACTAGGAAGTATGCGGCTTATGATCCTTTTATATTGCACAGAATGCTAAGCAAGTGTACTTTGCTCCTTATCCGTTGCATAGGGATAAGTCTGATTTGGTGGGTTGTAATCAAAACAAAACTGATGGGGCGAGTGGAAGTTGAGAATGAATTGGATGTTGCATATCAAAAATGAAATAGCAAGTGTTCATCAAGTAGTGGATGCTGAGTTAGAAATGAATTTGGAGCATCCTGTTCACATTTTAGAAGAAGTTAATAAGAGAAGAGTTAGATATGCCAACAAATATGGAGGAGGATGAGGAGGAAACTTTCGAAGAGGATGAATGGATAGATGAGGAGGAAACTTCCAAAGATGATGCATGTGAATGGATAGATGATGAAGAAACTTCCGAAGAGGATGAATAACAATTTGTATGTTTAGTTGGTGGATTTTTAGCTATTCATATTTGAGTATACTTTATATCTTAGTAGTTTTAACTTTTGTTTGACATTGTGAAAGACTATTTAGTAGTTTTAATGCGTCTTGCAAGATCGATTTGTGTCCATTTAGTGTTGAATATTAAGCTTTAATTTAGGGAATAATGTGTTTTTAAGCATAAGTACCAACACTAGTCCATCTATTGTTGACACTTAGCTCAATTAATGACAAGTAGCTCATGAGTCATGTCAAAGAATCCTTAGAATTGCAGAGTTTGATACATAGAAAAGAGTTCAATCTCACAAGTTACAGTTCAATGTAAGCCTCTTACATTGATTTTTAAGTAATGTAGGTAGATATTCTGAAACATGTGAACACACATTCCCTTTATTGATCATTGAATTTTCAGAAACTAAGTGTTGTGACTGGAAATGGAGAAAAAGAGTTTAGGGACAATATTACCACTTCTCTGAAATATAAGTTGTAAATTGAACAACTTTGCAACAGTTTTCAACAATATTACCAAAGCAATTTGAATGATAGATTTTGGGGAAACTCCTGTCCACCTCAGTCTGCCCATTTTGAGCTGAAAGCAATTCCAAAAGCCAAAAAAGTTAACATAAGCTAAAGTGAAATGCCCCAGGTAAAAGATAAATAACAACTTGTATGTTTAGTTGGTGGAGTTTTAGCTATTCATAATTGAGTATATTTATATTTTAGTAGTTTTAATGTTTGTTCGACATTGTGAAAGACTATTTGGATTAAGCCTTAGGTAATGATAACTTTGTTTGATATATTTGTTCGACATTGTGACATTATTTTGTACTACATTGTTTTAATATTTATAATTAATTGATATAGATGGTAGATAAAGACAAGGGTAAATAAAACAATCCGCTAATCCAAAAAATAAATTTAAGGCCAATGCTATGAGAAGGCCCACTGGGGTCGTGATTTATGATGAGCCCTCTCGAGTTAATATTTCAAAACGAGCCTCAGTTTCAACTACTCACTCGGCACACCAGTCACATAATGCCTCTACTCATGTGTCTCCACAATCTGGTTATACTATATCTACACCCACTGTGGTACTTAGTTCGGGTTACCAAACATTGCAGGGCTATTCACATCTTGGTCGTGGGTCTACCATACCATCAACTAGTGCTAGTTAGTGCAATAGTTTGAATACTAGTAGTGGATCAATTGGACTTTCCAATCTTCATCTTGAATCCAATGGCTCAGAGCCTAATACTCCCACCACCCAGCACTCAGATGCACATGGTCCTCAGCCAGGCGATAGAGACAATTTTCGGAGACTCGTCATCGAGCCATTAGGACACAAGTATGATTTAATTATGTTTCATCTTTCATTTATATACTTATATTTTAATTGATTGATTATTTT